ACGTGGAGCAATTAATTCACAGCGGTAGTTCGATCCGTCCTGGAGTGCTGGTGGTACCGACCCCTACGAAATTTATCTCCGGAGTCTAGGTCCGGGGGAGACACCGAAGCAGTTGGTCGTGGCCAAGGAGTCGCATGCTCTGCGGTCCATTATGGGGCTCATAGACAACCAGGAGAAGGTCGAGGCAATTTTAGATCCAGGTTCCCAAATCGTCGCAATGTCGGAAGCAGTTTGCCATTCTCTAGGACTTCAGTACGATCCCACCATTCAGCTCCAGATGCAGTCGGCGAACAAGACGATCGATATGTCGTTGGGACTGGCGCACAATATTCCCTTCCAGGTCGGAGATATTACCGTTTACCTCCAGATCCATGTTATTAGGGATCCGGCCTACGACATTTTATTGGGACGTCCCTTCGATGTATTAACGGAGAGTTGCATCAAAAATTTCAAAAATGAGGACCAGACGATCACGATCAACGACCCCAATTCTGGAATTGTTTCCACTATCCCGACATTTCCAAGAGGTCGCCCTCGATTTCGAGGCCCCGCCTCTGGAGCGGGATGATTTATTTTTAGGCGACTCGGACGAGGAGCAGTGGGCGGCCCTTGTCATCGAAGAGACAGATACCCCCGCCCGGTTTCAGATTTCTGCGTTCCATATTTTAGGTGATCAAGAAAATAGCAAAACCTCAATACAAGATTCCATTCCTTTCCTTTATCTCTCCGCCTGCGAGTCTCCAGTGGTCCGGTCATATTTTTCATCCGTTAAATTATTCAGTGGTGTACCGAATTCGCCAGTTCCGATTTTTGCTGCCACAAAGAAAAAGTATAAACCAGTCGCCAAGAAGGTCCGAGCGGTCCCTGCAACGTTGCCTAAGGAATATAGGATCCAACGCAATATTGTAGGAGACCCGCTGGCCGACATGCCGATTTTATCCCCAATTCCCCCTTCCTTCCAGCCAACCGGACGATATTCACAAGAGCGTAGGGATGCGCTACACAAGGCCCATCCTAGCGGATTCCTTACGGAAGCGGAGCTAAATTTGATGGACGAGTTTAGACTCGGAGCATGGCCGATTTTGCAAGGACTTCTTTCCTCCCATTGAATACCCAGGTACCTCGGACCACGTATTACAGTGTCCAGGAACCGTGGCGGAGCTTATATCCTCGCTGAACTCGATGGTGCGCTCTTCGATCGACCCTTTGCTGCGTTCCGCGTCATTCCCTACCTCGCAAGAAAATCTATTATGCTCCCGGAGGATTTTACAGATGTCAGCGAGGATCAAGTACGAAGGATGGAAGAACAGGACGATCATGCGGACGATGAAGACGAAGCGAACTGAGGACAGTTCAGATTTCAGTCAGGGGGAGGGAAGCGATGGGCTCCATATACCCAGGCATTTTCGCATTTTTCTTCGCACTTGTTTCACTCACTTTATTTTGCTCCGCTCCTTGATTCGTGCTTTAGTTAGGACACACATAAAATACAAATATCTCCCATCACCCCATCGGACAGTTCGCAAGCTATGTGACCACTTCTATCATTTTATTCGATCCTTTACTCTGCGCACCACTTAAGCGCTCTCCCATTCGTTTATTTTATATTATAGAACGGACCCTCTTTGTTTATCTCATGATTTCACCCTCCTTATTCTGAGCAGACAATATTCATTGCAGATATATTATACAGGACGAAGGACCACAGACAAGGCAACCGGAGCAAAATACAAGTACGTGACGAAGGCGACGGCGGCACAGGGACGGCCCCTTACATGGTACATGGAGCAGACGATGAAGACAAGAGAAACAAAAAAGGTCCGCATTTAGGAGGAAGGGCTCGGAGCACGGCCCCGTACCTCTCCCTCACTGTCCAGAGTCTTCTCCACCTCGCGCGACTCCTCAGAAGCCTGCTGGTCCATCAGCCGCTCGATATTCACGAGCCGGGCATGGGCGGCCAAGATCTGGTTCCGCAGGGTTGCGCAGGTCCGCGCGCGACTCCTTGATGGCCTTCCACACTTCCTGCCGCGCCTGATCATTCACCCTCTGCGCCTCATCCAACTCGCCGCAGAACCGCGTATTTTCCTCCCGCAGGCTTACCACATTTTCACAAACCAGGATCGACTTTTCTGCAGCTCTGCGATGGTCTGATAGAGATGTGTGAGTTGGTCCGGAGCTATCTCGCTGCGAGGGAACGGAGAGATGAGGGAAAGGTCGGAGCTCGGCGTATGAGAGCACGAAAGGAGCCTTCTTTTTTTCATCTGCAGGTCGCAACGCGTAGACTGAGGACAGTCAGGATTTCAGTCAGGGGGAGGTGATAAGCCTCGGGATAGTCTGACCCCCGAAAACACGGACTCAGTGCATCGTACAAGCCCTCCGGAGCTTATTCGACACAGCGCTCACACGCCTCTAGGCTTCTATGGGCTCTAAAGACTTGCTCTGTTTTTAGCTCCGGACTTCCGAACATCCTTGAGGCGTACACGGACCCATTCCGCGATTTATCTCCGCAAACAGGAGCTCCGGAGCGACTTAACCAATGCGACTTCTAGCTGCATTAGCTCCGGGACCCGCGGACTCTTCTATCGAGGGGCGTCTTCCTCATGCCCACCCTCCAGCACTCACTCCCCCTCGTTTCCGTCAAGATAGCGAAGGTGCGGACGTATACGAGTCACCATGAGGTCAGCATCAGTCAGCAAGCGGCCGGAGGTAATTAGCACG